CTCAAAAGGCTTGCAAATGACATATGACAAATTATGTGCAGAAGGTGTTCCTTGAAAACATTTTAAATGAGCATTTGGCAGCTTTTTCTGGCTGTGGGCTAGAATGACCCACTTTGGATCAGAGGTGAGCAAGCAGGTGCTAGGCCCTATCCACAGTTGGTGCATCTCTCTGTGGTGGCACAAGAAGAACACTTACAGTTGAAGCACCTGCCACTGAAGCCTTGGATCTGTGGGTTGGATCAAATGACTCCATGGGCTGGATCTGGCCAATGGGTTGTAGGTTGCCTGATTTAAATAGCTAATTGTGTTCTGTTTGTAGGTAATTCACAAACAGAAAAAGAAACAAATTCATAGAAATAAAATGTGTATGGATAAAGTATTTGTGAAGCTGAAAATATTTCTAACAATATAGGCTTTTATGGGAGTCATAATGGTAGGCTTATTAAATAATTAATAATAATTAATCATGTTAAAAATGATATGCCAGTAAACAAGATTTTAAAGGCCATATAAGGTGTCAGCTGTAGAAGCATATATTAGCAGGAGCTTTGGATTGAATTCAGAGTAAAATTTAGGTTTTAAATATTTTTTTGCTGCTGATAAATCTCTATTGTAAAGTTTGTGTTTACAGGGGGAACTAGAACAGGAAAGACAGCAACATGAGGCAATGATTGCTGCTATGAGAGAAGAGGAAAAGTTCAAAGTTGACAGAATGGCTCATGATTTGGAAATAAAATGGACAGAAAATCTTCGGCAAGTGTTTTTTCTTTTTCTTATAATAAAGAGGAAATGCATCTCTATTACATGCAAAAAGTCATTACTAATGGAATGTATAACAAAAATTCTAATATTATAGAAAACTTTGTCTGTCTATCGGCAATGCTTTATTCACACTCTGATTGGTTGTCTTGAGTGCTCCAACAGACAAAGATGCATGGCAGAGTGCCACCATGACAGCAGGGACCGAGGGGCCAGAGCATACCCCTCCCCCCTAACAACAGCCGGCAGGGAAGGGGAGGCTCCAAGGAAGACGGGGGGGAAAGGGAGCAGGAAGGGGGTGTTACCAGTGGCAGAACATGCAGCTGCCCATCTGCCACCGCGTGCAAGTTCCCCCCCCAGCTTGGGAGGCAGGGAGTCAGGGGGGCACACAGGCCCACACCCAAAGAAGTGGTGGGGGAACTGGACCTGAACGCTGGAGGGGAGTAGGGGGGAACAAGCCCAAAGAGGCAAGCAGGGAAGGGAGGGAAGCCAGACTCCGACCCAGGGTGGGGGGGTGAGGGGGCTACGCAGGCCTCTGTCCCCACCCCCCCATCCTAATGGTGGGGACACAGCAGACGGAGTGGGGTGAGAGCAGGCTCGTTCCCCCCTCCCCCAACCGGATAAGAAGCAGGGGCGGGGCCAGTTGCAGGGGGATGCGGAGCCGCCGGGCCCCAGTGACAGACAGCAGGGAGGGGAGGAGGAAAGGGAGCGGGGGCGCATGGTGGCACCGCTGCCATGACCGAAGCCCTGAAGGGAGGGGTGGGAATGAACCTGACCCCAAAGCGGCAGGGGTGAGGGTGGGGGAATGGGCCCGTTACCCCCCTCCCCCAATTGGATGAGAAGGGGGGCCGGGGCCAGATGTGGACTCTGTCCCCACCTGCGATTATGGCAGGGAGTGCGCTGCCACCATTCCGCTGCAACTGGGCACCAACAAAAGCCAGCAGGGAGGGGGAGGGGGAGGGAGGTGGACATGGGCCAGGCGGACCCGGACCACAGGGGTGGGGGGGAATGGGCCCAGACCCAATGCGGGGGAGGGGGGAATAGGCTTGGATTAGGAGACAGGATGGGGGAGCAGGGCCAGACCTGAAGTGGGGCTGGG